TTCACTATATAATCTATATAACAATGACCCGGGGCGGGGCCGATTTTGACCCCAGGGCTATAATTTGAACAATGTTGGTAGAGGTCTACCAGACAATGCCTTATGCAAAATATCTAAGCCTTAGGCCTTTTGGGTTTTTACAAGAAGGTTTTTTAAGTTTTTACTATATGAACATAGTGAAAATCAATGACCCCCGGGGCAGGGCCAATTTTGACCCCAGGGCTATAATTTGAACAATCTTGTTAGAGGTCTACCAGGCAATGCCTTATGCAAAATATCTAAGCTCTAGGCTATTTGGGTCTTTACAATAAGGTATTTTAAGTTTTTACTATATGTACATATAGTGAAAATCAATGACCCCGGGGCAGGGCCGATTTTGACCCCAGGGCTATAATTTGAACAATCTTGGTAGAGGTCTACCAGACAATGCCTTATGCAAAATATCTAAGCTCTAGGCCTTTTGGGTCTTTACAAGAAGATTTTTTAAATTTATTCTTATTATTCCTTTTGGTTGCCATGGCAACCAGATTTCTGCATGGAATGAAATTCTTTGAACAACTTTGGAAGCCCTTCACCCAAGGATCAATCCTGCCAAGTTTGGTTGAAATTGGACTATTGGTTTTTCACAAGAAGATTTTTTACGTTCACTATATAATCTATATAACAATGACCCGGGGCGGGGCCGATTTTGACCCCAGGGCTATAATTTGAACAATGTTGGTAGAGGTCTACCAGACAATGCCTTATGCAAAATATCTAAGCCTTAGGCCTTTTGGGTTTTTACAAGAAGGTTTTTTAAGTTTTTACTATATGAACATAGTGAAAATCAATGACCCCCGGGGCAGGGCCAATTTTGACCCCAGGGCTATAATTTGAACAATCTTGTTAGAGGTCTACCAGACAATGCCTTATGCAAAATATCTAAGCTCTAGGCCTTTTGGGTCTTTACAAGAAGATTTTTTAAATTTGTTCTTATAATTCCTTTTAGTTGCCATGGCAACCAGATTTCTGCATGGAATGAAATTCTTTGAACAACTTTGGAAGCCCTTCACCCAAGGAACAATCCTGCCAAGTTTGGTTGAAATTGGACTAGTGGTTTTTCACAAGAAGATTTTTTAAGTTCACTATATAATCTATATAACACACACACAAACACACACACAAACACACACACACACACACACACAGGTGAATCGCTATATGCCACCGCATCGCAGATGCTGCGGTGGCATAAAAACAACACAATAACTTCTGAGCACATTTAAAAGTCTTAAAAAACTTTAAGTATTAAAAACATAACAATTAGACTATTATAACTTCCAAAACAACTTTACCGGTATTTGTTTATATAACAATATGATATGATTATATAAAAGCAAAGCAATATAAACAAATGTATATATGGGAGCAAGTATAAATGTATCTTTTTTAGTCCAGAACCACAATCTTCAAAATCTGACTTATGAAACTTTCACGAGTCACAAAGCAAAATTTTAAAGAAAATAAAATTCACATTCTAACAAAGTTCCCAGTATTACCTTATTAAACAAAGAATAAGCTGTAAATTCCCATAAGTATACAATATATACATGGTGTCAGGAAAGAAACAGCAAATTATTAGATGGCATCAGGTATGATTACAATAACCCAGCTGATGTTAAGTTAATTACTTCATGACAAAATGTTTTTCATCTGTTGCTTTTTTTTGGCAATAAGTACAATTGCATGTAGAGTGAATTGGTATTTGTACGGAAGTCAAAATAATAGTTTGTTTACATTTTGCTACTTTTAGGACAAATTATTTCACAGTTATTGCTAATTTCTTTTAACATTCTCTAAAACCATTATTTAAACATTATAAAATTCATGTTTGCCCTAACTAAAAACTAAGTAAAAGTTAATTTGTTTCTGAGGCATAACATGCCTTTAATATACTTTGTTCTAAAAGCATTCCTATCTTAAAGCATTGATTGGCTTATTGGCTCAGCTGTTTTGTGATTGATCACATAGATGTATGGCCACACTGTGATAATATTTCTCCTTGTCTGAACTTGAATCATGCAGTATTCAACTAGAAATAATTATTTATTTTTGCTTGATTATGAAACAAAGTTTTGCATCTTACTTTAGTAACTAATCAGTAGTGGTGTTATATGACGAAACATGGTCATGACCCTGATAGGACTCAAACTCTCAGTCATTGGGTTGAAAAGTCAACAACTTAACCACTAAAACACCACTCCCCTTGAGCATGCAGTACTAAACAACAAAATGCACTCAAAATAAAAATCTATTTCCTCAATTCGCCATGTAAAAAGCAAATTTTGAAGATTACAATTCCTAACTAACACAGAGTTCATGCATCACAAATTCTGATAAAACAACAACAATTACTGAAATGAAGTACATCTGAAATGAAAATGCTTTATGCTCCTTTTCTTTCCTATCTTAAAACCTTTCTTGAACAAAGGGAAAGAATCAATTTCATATTGCCTGAACAATTCAACAAGAGTTCCTTCCCATACAATAATATTGTGAAAATAATAAAAAAAACATTATCAACAGGGCTATAACCTTTATAATGATATAATACAAACTTTAAAAAAAAATCAATTGACTTTTTCTTCATGTTAAAGAAAAGCATTGATGTCAAAACAAGAATAAACTTTAGGACTTATTTTATCACACTTTACTGTTTCCATGGAATTCATTGGATCAAAACAGGACATCAACGGAACAAAAAAAGAGCACACTTTACATGATTAAAGAACAAAAAACACACATATGAAATACACACAGGTGAAACATTCTAAAAACATCCCTGATAAAAAAAATTGTTCAACAAAATATACCGTTATTGCAAACATATACACTATAAAATCACAATTTTTTTGTGGTGAATGCTTATGTATAGTACAGTAAAATGAAATTGTGTCATTCATGATTGGTCAATCGTCATGGCAACCTTTCAGTTATACATTCATTATTTTGTAAAATGTCATATTTTTGCAGTTTTAAATTGTTCAATGACTTCTTAAGTACTGTCATATTGGTTGAATGCTGTAGAAAATATATACAAGTTAAACATTTATTATTTTATAAGATGGCATATTTTTGTTTTGAATTACTTGTAGGGTCAATTCCTATTTTCAAAAAAGTCAGAAAAGTGAAGAAAAAATGTTCTTCTACTGTTATCAAATATATATGACTGTATACATCGTGCCTTACAACTATCTTCTATAAAGCATTATGTTAAGCTAATTATATTGTTCTATGGTCATAAAAAAACTGAAATCTTAAGAGTATAAAAGATTAAATTTCATCAAAAACAAATATACATTTCTACAAAACAATAATACATCTGTTTATTTAAGACAATCTAGAACTAGCCAAACTAAACCAAACATCAAACTGGCCATTTTCTGTAATACACATGTATAAAAATATGAGTTGAATCACATGTTATCATTATGCATACAATTTCTATGAGTTATGGTGTAACGGGGCAAAATTGGCAGCACTTTATATTTGCACCATTTAAAATGAATGAAAAAGTTACATAACTGGCTACTGCACCATTTCTGACAGTAATGAAAAGGACAATAGAGTATAATACTAGCATCATGAAGTAATAGAGAATAATGGCACCAGATTTTGGCACCATTTTAATGACTGATTAGGTACTGGGAATTCACTTATATTGTTGGGCATGAAATTTCGTGGTTTTATCAAAACAGGCATTTTCGTGGACTCTTTAATTCGTGGATTTTCAATTTCTTGTAAAAAAAATAAGTAAAGAACCTAATGCAAAGAAATCTTACACTTAATTGCAGCGCATTTTACTTACCGCATGTACATAATTATCTTTACGTCAATAAATTCATTACACAAAATCGGCTGAAAAACCGCTGATGCGTGTTTGTAATATATAGAATAGAGACATGGCAAGAAGTATTTGTTGGGATTAAATTTTGTCGGATCTTAAATTCGTGGATTGACCTACCCACGAAAATTCATGCCTCACAAATAATAATGATTTTACAGTAATTGGAATAATGGCACCAGATTTTGGCACCATTTTAATGACTGATTAGGTAATTGGAATAATGGCACCAGATTTTGGCACCATTTTAATTAGTGATTCAGTAATTGGAATAATGGCACCAGATTTTGGCACCATTTTAATGAATGATTAAGAAATGGCAATAATGGCACCAATTTTAATTGGCATCAATTTAATGAGTGATACAGTAATTGAAATATTTGCACCAGTTTTAATGGCACCAATTTAATGACTGATTAAGCAAATGAAATACTGGCACCAGATTTTGACACCAATTTAATGACTGATTTAATAATGGGAATAATGGCATCATACTCTTTACAAGAATATCATAAATGAAAACATGACACAAGATATTATGAACAGAATTTATATAATTAATGTGACAGAATCGTGATAACCAGTTATCTCTAAGTGATGAATATACAAGAATTAATGTAATGTATTATAAATGGGACTTTTTTGATTAAAATGTACTAAACAAGGCACATGTTACCAACACCTGTCATAACATAAACTGACCCTCACATGATAAAATCTATTAGAATAACACAATATCATGATTATAGTGCATATTCATTAAATTTTGATTTTTTTCTCCGTGTAAGAAGCAAGCTTACGATATACATTTATATTCAAACAAATAACATAACTATAGAAAATGCAAATAACATAGGCTATAAATATATTTCTTTCTTATCAAACAATTTTATGGAAAATATAATTAGAAGTGGTCAGTTCAGTCAAAGTAATAGAGGATATTCAAGTTTTTTCTATAAATACATGATTTATTTTCATCGAGTGGTATGAAAATAAGTATTTCATGAGTGGCGGTAGCCACGAGTGAAATATGGTAATTTTCATGCCACAAGATGAAAATAAATCATGTATTTATAGAAAAAACTTGAATTTTCTGTTTATTATGTACATTTTTCTCTTTTTTGCGATAAAAGTTGAAAAACTTTCCCTTAAATTTTGTGTACTGGTAGAATTTAAAAGAAAGTAGTCCGGCAAGACACCAGTGAAAATACGGAAAATATGTTTCACTGCAGTGAAAAATAAATTTTTACAGTGAAAATACGGAAAATGAAAATACGCATTTTATTTCATCAATATTTCTCAATATTTCATTTATAAGTATATAATAAATTTCAATACTTATATATAATGTATTTATCAACATTTTACATGTAATATGCTATAAGTAGACATTTTAAAATTGAAAAATTGAAAACTTCTTCCTTCTAATTAAAGCTACTGATATATGATAAACAGATAAACATGTACAATAAGGAGTAACAACGCTTTTAATGATAGGGAAAAAACAACATTCTTGATACCTGGATATCTAAAATTCAACTTCTCTGACACTTAATAGCATCAAATTTGACTCAGACTCTTTAATGTTAGTCCAGTATAATGTATCTGTATTTTAATAGTTATGAAGTAAATACATTTGGTCCCAACTGTTCATATGTTTAACAAAAATTTTACCCCCACCCCTTTACATGTAAGGCACTTATACTGCGTAAACATTAAATGCTTGCAATGCTATGTAACTAGTAGTTACAGCACCTTTAAACACTTTCCCCTCCTAAGCTGACTATGTCACTGTTCATGCATGAAATAAATGGGACCTCCCCACTCTGAACTTTCAGTAAAAGCAGGTCCCTATTCCTGTCATAACCTTCAGACTGGTCCCTTGCTTCATGCCCATTCTCATAACCTTCATCACTATGAGTTTCAAGACTGATTCCCATGTTATTTCTAGCATGGTACCTGTCAACAATACTTTTCATTTGTTCAGACTGTGTCTTACTTAAAACATCAAAATCATCATCAAGGTCATCTGGGGGGATGAAAGCAAATTCATCCTCAACAGTACTGCAGGTGGGTGGGGTGGGCAAATGATTCGACAAATTTTGTGAATTTGCCACAAAGCTATGTGGCAACAGTTTTGGTCTATGTTTTGTATTGTGGGTATTGAGGACATATGCATTTTCTTGTGAAGAATCATTGAGGCGAGGTGGAACTGAAAGTCCAATGTCAGAGGGATTGACTGTAAGAAGTGATTGACCATCTAGAAGATGGAGAAGACCTGCTTCTTGAGGAGAGGTATGAAATGGAGGTGACCTTTCACTTTGTGGGGTATTGCCACATGAATTATAATCATCTGTAATTCCAGAATCATATTTGCTTTCATCACTGGCAATTGACCACAATCTGTCATAGCATAGTCGTTTTTCTAACCACTTCGGGTTTTGTTGCTGGTACTGCTCGGCTGCAGCAATTGACTCAAGAAGTTTTTGTCCAATAGGCCGTGTATTAAACTTGCCATCAAATGGGAGGTCGTAATCTGACAGGTTATCTGTTCGACGCAATTTATGAATATGGAGAAGAAAATCGGGAAAGTGTTTAAGGAGCCGGTACTTAAAGCCAGGGCAAATATCTGGAATGATAAATTTTTCATCTGTGTAATCAAAATAAATCATTAATATATTATCGTATCTTTCATCGCGTAAAAAGTTATTTCTCACGCTGTTGATGCTCGACATTCGTCTCGTCATTGGTGACTGGTTGACTGTCAACGATGAATTTTTCTGCCCGTACCTAGCCATGTAGCTTGAATACGCACCTTCAGAGTTAACAATCACTATAAAGTCAGCCTGGTCGAGATCCTCATGTACCCACGGTGCGTCAAGCTGCCACTCGACACACATAGAAATACACTGACAATGTTGTTGTAAAAACGTGGCGAAATGATTCACAACAGCACGATGATACTGGTGATCATCTTCAAACAGCAGACATAACTTCGGCTTCTTAGTCAGCTGCTTCTTCTCCGCTGAAAAAAAAAAAAATGATCGTAATATTTCTATATTTCTTACAGAGCTCACAGCAAATATTAAATAAATTTTATTTCCATCTTTTCCTTAGCTTACAAAAATCTGATTAATGGGTACCCTAATAACTTAAAACAGTCTTCAGAGATAATTTAACAAGAACTAGTGCTAATCTCTACAGTACCCCTCATGTCAATTACCTCTTATGAACATTACATTTGCTGCCTGATCATGGTTTGCACTGTTCACTATTCAGTCAGAACTTTAACTTTGAAACTTAAATGAATAAAGTTACTTTACTGAAAAAAAAGTTTTTAAATTATTAAAAAAAATTGAATTTTGTTTAGTATGAAGGATGGACAAGACAATGGTTTTGTGTATGCAGTTTGAAAGATGGACAGAACAAAACAGAACAAATATTTTATTTGACTTAAGCATTATAAACAAGCTCATGGACTTGTCCATTTAAACTTTTTAGCATGGTATTGGTTTAATGAGATCAGTCCACTCCTTTTAAATAACAGATGCAATAAACATCTTGGAAATCAAATAATTTACGGAAAAGTTTCAGATTTATGAAAATAATGACATTTCACATAGTTCAAGTGTTTCAATTCTATCATCAAAACAACTTTTGAATTCTATGAATTTTAAATCCATCACTTAACCCTTTCCCCCATGAGCATATCGTGAAAAATGGCCATTTTAACTGAAAAGCCTCCTCTTACAAGTTCAAACTGCTATGAAACTATGAAAAATGCTTCAATACTAATCAAACTTGGCACAAATGTTGACTGGACCATTGCCTTTGTAACGACATGCTCAGTCTTAAATTTCCTGTTACCATGGCAACGAGGGGACATCTCAAAATTGCCAAAAATCACTATTTTGCCTCGATTTTTTCCATCAAAATTTATTTCAAAGTGCTGCAACTTCTCAATGGATTGAGATAGAGTCAAAGGCTTTTCAGCATTGGTTACACGTTACTTCATGATCAACCTGGGGTCATTTTAAGCCTCTCACAAGTCCAAAATTTTCTTGGCGATAAGGCGGACTCCGCCCCCCTTCAAACCCCCCAAACAGAAGGGGGCACATCCCCCTTCTGGCAACCCCCTGATGTATTATTTGGATGGGGGACGGCGCCGAAAAAATGGTCACTTTTTTTAACAATATTTCTCAAACGAAAAACAGTGTTTTGGGGTCTAAATAGGACATTTTTTCACTGTTTGAGGCCTCAAAAGGGGGGGGGGGGGCAAAAAGCCGTCGAAACACGCTTATATAAGGGAAAAGGTTAAAGTAGTTAAATATGTTTTACAATTTCTTGAAACTTTGATTGCTAAGCACTGTGAGTTCTTCTTTCTTGGCTGTTAATTAACAATTATTGTTTTAAATGCCCACTTACTATGTAATATATACATATGTACTATGTACTTGTTATTACTTAAGAAATAATATATTCCTTTTTATAGGGATATTGCTCAATAAAATCACTGTTTTAGAGTTTGGATACTTGGAATTATGTCAAGAGGGCATAGCCGACAAACATCAATCACCGATATGGATATATTATTTCGATTCTAACATGACATCAACAAATTTTAATGCTGCCGCTAAATTGGGAGTCATGTTAGAATTATCAATAATACATGTATTATAAGTTCCAGACTGACAAATTATATTGTGTAAGGATCATTAAAGATCCTGTATGTTTTGTGATTGATATTGTTACTGTGTGTATACCACACTTGCAAAAAATATATATGTATATAGTTATGTAAATAAAACAATTTTCAAAACATCAAAGAATATGTAAAATGTGTACTGCAAATATTTGTTCACATTATATTTAATCAATAAATTATATGCATTAATTTCTTATTGGAAAATTTGACATAGAATTTATAGAAAATAAATTTCTAATTACCTCCCTTTATTTACATGAAATGTTAAATTCGGTAATACCTTTATAAATAATGCTTACTTGAACTTACAGTATTGACAAATCTTAATTTGAGCATCATATTTATGAAATAAAACCAAAAAAAAAATGTGTTACAGGATCTTTAAAATTTGGTAGATATGCCATTGTTTCATCTTTACCATCAGAACAAGGCCAGACTGCCTTTCCATTACAGAATGACAAATCTTCTTTACACTGCTGATAACTATAATGCTATCAATATCTTATTTTAAAGCAGCATGCCCTCAGATCCATGCCAATTTTCATGATAATTTTGAAAATGTATTCAAAAGTAAAAATAATATTGTGAAGTGAACAAAGAACGTAATTTACATAATGCAAACAGCTCTTACAATCTACATAAAATACCGAACAGTGGTAACAATATGCAAACAAGAGCTGTCGGTAGGACAGCAACGCTCGACTATTCTTAGTGCTTGATAGTAAAAAAAAATGCTTGATACAATTACCTCCTCCTGTTAACAGGTTGGGGTAATGATGGTGAACAAGTGTGCAAAGTTTCAAAGCCATATGTCAATGGACTTTGAAAATATTTGAACTATTACAAAAACTTTAACGTAAATTCTAAGTCGAAAAAGGGGCATAATTCTGTCAAAATGCTTGATACAGTTACCTCCTCCTGTCTACAGGTTGGGGTAATGATGGTGAACAAGTGTGCAAAGTTTCAAAGCCATATGTCAATGGACTTTGAAAATATTTGAACTATTACAAAAACTTTAACGTAAATTCTAAGTCGAAAAAGGGGCATAATTCTGTCAAAATGCTTGATACAGTTACCTCCTCCTGTATACAGGTTGGGGTAATGATGGTGAACAAGTGTGCAAAGTTTCAAAGCCATATGTCAATGGACTTTGAAAATATTTGAACTATTACAAAAACTTTAACATAAGTGGTTACGCCGACGCAGACGCCGACGCCGACACTGACGCCGACGCTCGGGTGACTACAATAGCTCTACTTATTCTTATCGAATAGTCGAGCTAAAAATACCCCTTACTTCATTAGTCATGTAGGAGAAAACTGCGGTAGTCAAGCAGTAGAAATAAGGTGATAAATAAATGAACCTTGTCACATAAGGTGCGGTTGATGATAAGGAACATATATTTGAAGTTTAAAGTTGATACCTTAAGAAATGAAAAAGTAATAGTGAAAAATATTTTACTGCACCAAAACTTTATTCAGAAATCTGGACACGGACTCAGGGGCGAGTAGGACAGCTCTCCATAATTATACTTTGTATAGATGAGCTAAAAACTTATCGAAAATATGACTATTGTAGACCAATCCACTTTAAATTTAAGTACATTTATCTCCAATCTCATTAAAATCATATCCTTACTGTCGCTCCACTACCCTCATAGCAAAGAGTGATGATCTTAATTATAAGGAGATTAATTTTTCTCATGTTTAATTTTCTTGAAATATTTTGACTCATCTGGAGACATGCATTTTTAGTTACAATTGACTTTTCCAGATTTAAAGAATGGCAAGATTGTTATATTAATTTATTATCAAGATTCTTATTTCGGAAATTATATCATCTTTCACAGAAATCAAACTCATATTCACCTTAATTTGCATAACTTCCTTATATAAACAATTTTTAAATTCCTTGAAATGAACATCGCATTTATCATAGAGGGTGAATACACCTTTATGTAAATATAATCTGCAGAAGCACAGGTGTGGGTTGAATTTATGAGTCTAAGGGATTTCGCAGATGTTAATGCATAGAAAAATGAGCATAAGCGCAATTCTTGCATAAAAGTAAATTTCTAATGTGATATCACGGTAATTTGGCATTTCATTATCTGTATTTGATATAAAGAAACCATTGAATGTGTAATTCTTTGAACATGCTTGTGTGATGTCATTTGACAGATATGTTTTGATAATAAAACTTCCAGGGCTGTCATTGCATAAAGCTGTTTTAACATGCCCTGAGACATGCATATCCAAAAATGTGCAACTATGGCGCACAATATCGAGAATTTCAGTTAAAACATGTTTTCTTCTATGTTAATATACATTTTACGCTTATGTGTACAGTTTTATGCAAAAATACTTAGCGGAAACACTGATTTAATACCCTATATTAATACTTAACCTGATTAATTGGGGAAAATGACTTGCACTGATTCCGTCATTCAATGTGGGAATAATCCATTATTTAAGATGGATATATGTTACTGAAGAGCCACCTGTATAGAGCCTAGCAAGACTCCAAGGATGTTCAGACTGGTCTGGCTCTATACTGGTGGTCAAGGCTAATTACTGTCAGCTCCAGCAGGTAATGTGCTCATAAAAGTCTGATCACTTAAACTATAATTATTCATTAATGAGCCGCGTCACCACAAAATCAATGTAATGCGTTTGCGACCAGCATGGATCCAGACCAGCCTGCGCATCCGCGCAGTCTGATCAGGATCCATACTGTGCGCTTACAAACCCTATAACAAGTAGAGAAACTGATAGCGAACAGCATGGAAACCTGATCAGACATGCTGGTCGCAAATGCAAGACGCGCTCATTTGTAAATTAACACAACATTAAAACTTGACCTACATGTATAAAAATAGCTTCATCCAATAAGGAAAATATACCTCCTTTTTTGCACTTTACATAATTTCATTTGAACTTTACTTTATCCTTAATGACTAAGGTTAATTGCTTTTGTTATTTATCATTTTTTACATGAGTAAATGACATTTAGCACTTAACACTTTAAGTGTTTTGAAGTACACATTATTAAATGTAATATGGGCAGTATAAGGAAAATAATACAAAATACAACTTAGGCAATTTCCTGAACGTAAGTTACATTAATATCCTTTAAATACTCCTGGACCAATAAAATAATAGATTTCGTTTCAAGGAAACACTGCTATTTTATTAAAAAGCAAAACAAAAAAAACAAAAAACAAAAACATGCAGAGTTCACCACATTTAAGGGCAAAACAAATATGACTTAGATAATTTTCAAAATAATCTTGTAATCTTTTTAAAACAATATAATCACATATGTATATTCAACCCTTAACCTGTGCCAAAATAACCAAATAATTAAGCCTGATGCATATGTAGTAAATAAATATCCTGAATGTATTTGCCCAGCTTTTATTTTTTTTTAACTTATATTTATAGGGATATGAAAATGCCAATTTGGTAAGCTATTGAATAATACTGAAGAGCTAGGTTACTTTCAGTCCAAGCATTCAATGAGAATTTTGGGGTGTTTTTCTGTGTGTGTAGTTTTTACATTTTCATTGAGATTTAAGTCACAAAGACAATGTAAAGAACATAAGGCTAGTAAAAACCTCTATGAGGTTGCCCTCCAAGAATTAATTCAGACACAAGCGGGCAATGATGTTCATCCTAGCCTAAAAATGTATATACATGTATTTTCATATCTTACATAGATATTAATTTACCTAATTTAACATTTCATTACAATATTTCTACCATATTGTATTTCTTAGTGCCTTTTGTTTTGTACATGCTGCTTAATACAACATTTCATGCAGTATAAAATATCTCTATTTTTCTCCAATTAAACTACCCTTTTTTTTTTAATAAATTGAATGTCTGTTCATGTTATACATGTAATAAAGCACTCTAAATTTTCATACAAAAACGAGCATGTATCTGGAGCCGGGATGGTTTAAACGTGTCAAGTACATTGAACCATCACCTACTGTCTCAGTACGAGTTTCCTTGTTAGATTTTAATCTATATTTACTCCATAGAGGTCAATTTTGGATGACTAATAAAATATGGGTAAAGATTTTTCCCTAAATATAGGAACTGGGTCAAGATGAATCTAATAAATGCATCCTTCCTTTAAAAATTGGAAATCTGTACTCTTATAACTCTACTTTTAACACTTAGTTGACATTTAACACTTGACTTTTATCACTCCAAAGGTTACAGGCTAACCCAATTGTAAATCAGTCCTTCATTTAGCACCATTATAACCCTAATTGTGCAAAATTTATGAAAATGGACCCGTTAGTGTAACATTCATTGATATCTAAATGCTAAAATTATTAAATTTTGTAGTTCAGGAAAACTATACATATCAGAAGAGCCAAAATATTTCAAGAAATTCAATCTTTAGAAAAAAATATTAAGATCTTTAGAAAAGTAAAAGTATTCAATATTAAATTTATTTTATTAATTATTTACATGTTATGTGCGATTAATTACTGATTTTGCAGTATCAATCACTATGACTCTACTGCGTTACTGATGCAGTAAGGGGTATATATGTATATTTTTGACCTCTTTTTGGTAATTTACGTGAATTGTAAGTGCCCTTTGCAATGTGTAAATTGCTTTCTTTGTACACTTCACAATATTTGACTTTTTTAATACATTTGCAAATTTTTCATGAAAATTAGCATGAATCTGGAGGCATGCTGCTTTAAGTGACCAACAATGACCATTAAGATGATCTGAGTGAAGTTTCAAGTAAATACTATCAGTGCATTTCCTTGAGGCTAAATAAAAGGTCAAAATGTTTTTAAAGGGCTTTCATAAAACTTGACAAGACTAGAGTTGAGACTTAAAACTTTTGAAGTTAGATAGCTATTCAAGCTGCACAAGTCATGGAGTTAATGCCCTTATAGTCCTTGCATTGAAAAATTCAAACAACAACTTAAACCCCAAAAAAATTAAAATCTATGCAGAAGAAAGCCAGAAAGAATAGATACACACTTATTATCTTCTGAACAGTCTAGCTAAAAGTATATTCCTCATTGCAAGTTGAATACTAAATTAAACAAAGTTCTCTTAAACAATGAGTTAAACAACAAAATACTCTGTTGTACAATATACCTGTATATACAACTTTTGATAAATTTATAAAAAGTCATACCATTTCCATTATTGATACCATGAATTGAGTTTGGGAAGGTCATTATGGAAGCTATTTCATCAGCATAGCCTGGGTTTTTACCCGGTAATACAGGAGATCCATCCAGGTCAGGATGATCTCCATTTCTTACTATTTTCTCTCCTGAAAAACAAGAATAATTATCATGATGAATAAAGTATGTATCACTAAACAAAATAATAATAAACACTTAACTAATTGCATATACTCAATTTAACCTTTTACCCCATGAGCATATTGCGAAAAATGGCTGTTTTCATTGAAAAGCCTCCTGTTACAAGTTCAAACTGCTATGAAACTATGAAAAATGCTTCAATACTGATGAAACTTGGGACAAATGTTAACTAGACCATAGCCTCTGTAACAGCATGCTCAATTTTAAATTTCCTGTTACCATGGCAACGGGGGGACGTCTCAAAATTGCCAAAAAATACTATTTTGCATTGCTTTTTCCATCAAAACTGATTTCAAAGTGCTGCAACTTCTCAATGAATTGAGATAGAGTAAAAGGCTTTTTAGAGTTGGTTACTAGTTACCCTAAGATCGACCTGAGGCCATTTTTAGTCTGTCACATGTCCAAAATTTTCTTGGTAATGAGGGGGACTACCACCCCCATACCCCTTCAAACCCCCAAACAGAAGGAAGCACATCCCCCTTCTGGCAACCCCCTTATGTAACATTTTGATGGGGTGCGGCGCCGAAAAAGTGGTCACTTTTTTTAACAACATTTCTCTAACCAAAAACAGTGTTTGGGGCCTCAAAAATAGGGGCTTTTTTCACTGTTTGAGGCCTCAAAAAGGGGGGGACAAAAAGCCGTCAAAACATGTCTATATCAGGGAAAAGGTTAAACAGACCCTCATGTACATTTGTAATTTCCCCAAATTATCTTAGGCTCAGATAGTGTAGCGCGTGCAAAACCAAATCGTGGTGCATGTAGCTGCTTTAATGATATCAGAAGCGCATTGATTCTATTCTTTCTCATATATCATTGAATTAAACTTTGATGGCAATGGTTACACTAAAATAAATATGCACCAGTAAATACCAGTTATATCATTCAACTTAAGGATGTCGCAGGGGTGACCAACATTCCCACCATCTTTGTGACACATGATTTAATGTACATGTAATCTATTAAATATTAATCCTGAAAGTAAACATTTGCACTAAGTTTGAAGAAGGTTCATCAAAAACATGTATAAAATTCATAGTGTGGACTTAAATTTGTCTGACATTTGACCTTCAAGGGCAACTTAATATTACAAGATTTAATTTAATCGTTTTTATAACTCACCACCATTGTTTCTACATCTGCTGTAATAGATAATTCCTGGAATGATGACAGCCAAGGCAAGCCCAACAATGGAACCAACTATAGCAAAAGCAACCTTGGTGTCAGAAATTTCATTACTCTCTGTTGTTGAACGCTTATACGCATCTGTAAGTGTTACAGACTCTCCTGGGCTTGATTTTTCTGTTCTTTTTTCAGTGATGACCTCACTTCCTGTTGGTTTGGTTACCGGCACATTCACAGGCAGTAGTGTTGTGGTTGTAGAAGGCACAGTACCAGCTACATATGAAAGTAACATGCTCAATGTACTACATTTTGAAATAGGCTAAATGAATATTTCCTAAACAATTCTGTAATTCTATTCCTAAGTTCTTTATCATATGACTATTGTTTACAGTAAGATTCATGTGTTAATATGAGTAGTAGGACACTTTTTTTATTTTTTAGTTCACATAACTTTCCAGATTTACTGATGCTGATAAACCAAGATCAGAAGCCCTATCATGCATTATTCAGGATGTACAAACAGGGGCAAAGATTGGTCTAAATTTACATGCAGGCCCACTTCTAGTGGTGTTTTAATGGAAGTTTTTTCACTCTGGATTCTAAGAGGTGGGTTTTGGCATATACATGTAGTAAGTACAAAACATATGTAAGAATAGTAATTGCTGCTCAGGTAGATAATTATTTATAATTTTTCACTTTCTAGGAAGAAAATGTAGTCATGGTCTACAGGAAGCTACAACACTGACAAGTAGGTCGAACCACTAGTTTCTGTACATGATGAAATAAACATCCCTGGTAGGATTTCTAATGCTCAGCTGAGAGGAGCAAGTGATTGAAGTCAGCTGACCTAAAACACTCTGGCACAGACAACCTGTGGGAGGATATTATTAATTTCACCTTAATTACTAAATGTTACCAGAGACTAAAAATTAAAAAATTTCAAACTGTTCATTAGCTTGATGTAGAAAATGTAAGTGATGTAAATGAACTGATATCATCCATTTTGAAAGATAGAAACTGTGTCATATTACTTACTGTAGTTAAAAAAAAAACCTGTTGTTGATGTTGTTATACAGGACTTGCATACAGACTCTTCTTTACATGGACAGAAACTCCCATCTCTGACTGGTATAACCTACAACATGAAAAGCAATATGGTAATCTGCTGAATTTATGTAATGGATTTGCCCTGCTTTGAATATAGAATAATTCTTTCAAAGTTTTAGGGCATTTCAATATAAAACAAATAATTCAGCAATCAACAATATGGCCCACGCACATACTGGCGTCAAAGGCTAAACATTTTTGTTTGCAGCAGATTAAAGGCTAAATAACTGTAAACAATTTTGTATTAAATGGTATCATGAAATAGTAACTAACTTGACATTATTTTCACCATTTGTCAGTAACAATTAGACCATAGCTTGTGTATTTCTAAATTAACAGAATTCAAGTCACACCAATATAAATTTAGCAATGGACAATTATTCCCAGATTTTCTGATTTTTTTCTCAGGTGTTGGAAAATCTCAGCTGCCCAGCTCTGTGCATTGTTTCAAGCACCAGAAGGCATATAATTAAAACCAGAAACTTTTAAATACCTTAATTGATAGCTTAAATGTTAGACAAGATCTATTGACAATAATGTGAACAAGAGCTGTCGGTAGGACATCAGCTCGACTATTCTTAGTGCTTGATTTTTCTTTAAATACATGTTACAGTTATAGGCCTTAAAGAGAGCCCTATAATGCTTTCAAAGAAGTGTATAAAATTTCAACTTCTTTCAATGGAATATGAAAATATCTGAGTTGGTGTACACACTTTAATGTAAATTCTAAGTCGAAAAAGAGGCAATTATTCTGTCAAAATGCTTGAAAGTTTCCTCCTCTTGTCTACAGATTTGGGGCATAATTCTAACAAAATGCTTGATAGAGATATTTCCCCCTGTCTAGTGGGTTGGGGTCATAATGGTGAACAAGTGTGCAAAGTTTCAAAGCCATAAGTCAATGGACTTTGAAAATATTTGAGGTATTACAAAAACTTTAATATAAGTGGTTAAGCCGACGCAGACGCTGACGCTCAGGTGACTACAATAGCTCATCTTATTCTTATCGAATAGTTGAGCTAAAAAATCAAGACAAAATCCTACAAAACTTTAAATTTAATTTGGCACTATGGTTATGAAATATAACTAAGGTAACAAAATTTACCTTCTTTCATAATTTTGATTAATTTCTTTATAAGTAATAAAGTGAAATTAAATTTACTTTAAAATCATCTAAAATGTAACTGAGTTTATATAAATTAATAAACTGTTCAATTTTTAATCTTGTACCTCTATAAATATTCATCATATGTACATTTAAAATACTGGTACACCATTAGAAAGAAAATTCAATTTCAAAACAAGAGGGCCATGATGGCCTTGACGTCGCTCACCTGTATATAGGCCCCCGGAGCGGGGCCAGTTTAAACCCCAGGGCTTTTATTTGAACAAACTTGGAAGACATCCATTAGAAGATGCCCCCCCTCCCCCCCTGGCAGGGCCAATTTTAACCCAAGGGCTTTTATTTGAACAAACTTGGTAGACACCCACAAGAAGATGTTTCATATTAAACATCTTACCTCTAGCTCATTGGGTTTTTTAAAAGAAGATTTTTTAAGTTTTTACTATACACATATAATTAAAAACAATGACACCTCTGGGGCGGGACCAGTTTTGACCCCAGGGCTTTTATTTGAACAAACTTTGTAGACACTTACTAGAAGATGTTTCATGCTTAATATTTAAACTCTAGCTATTTAAGTTTTTTCAAAGAAGATTTTTTAAAGTTTTTGCCATACACATATAAGGAAAATCAATGACCCCCGGGGGAGGCCAATTTTGACCCCAGGGCTTTTATTTGAACAAACTTTGTAGACACTCACTAGAAGATGTTTCATACTTAATATCTTAACTCTAGCTATTTGGGTTTAAGTTTTTGCTATACACATATAAGGAAAATCAATGACCCCCCCCCCCCGGGGCGGGGCCATTTTTGACCCCAGGGCTTTTATTTGAACAAACTCTGTAGACATCCATTAGAACATGTTTCATGCTAAATATCTTAGCTCTAGCTCTTTGAGTTCTTTAAAAGAAGATTTTTAAGTTTTTACTATATGCATATAGGGAAAATCAATGACCCCCCTGGGCCGGGCCAATTTTGACCCTAGGGCTTTTATTTGAACAAACTTGGTAGACACTCATTAGAAGATGTTTCATGCTAAATATCTTAGCTCTAGCTCTTTGAGTTCTTTAAAAGATTTTTTAAGTTTTTACTATATGCATAATGGGAAAATCAATGACCCCCTGGGGCGGGGCCAATTTTGACCCCAGGGCTTTTATTTGAACAAACTTGGTAGACACTCACTAGAAGTGTTTCATGCCAAATATCTAAGCTCTAGCTCTTTGGGTTTTTTAAAAGAAGATATTTAAAAAATTTTCTTTCCGTTGCCATGGTAACCAAAGTTCTGCATGGAATTAAATTCTTTGAACAATTTTTAAAGGTGACCACCAAAGGAACATTCCTGTGAAGTTTGGATGAAATTGGCTTAGTGGTTTATGAGGAGATGTCATTTAAAGTAAAAGTTTACAGACGGACGGACGACGGACGGGGGCCGGACGCCGGACGAAAAGCGATCACAAAAGCTCACCCTGTCACTTTGTGACAGGTGAGCTAGAAAACAAAAAAAAACTCTGTATTTGTAATTATTAGTGTTTAAAGCAAGATTTATTATATTCATAAGATACCCTGGTATAAATTTTTGTATTTTCTCCAAATTAGCTGTATGTAGATAGTGTACACTATATAGATAAGAGTGTATTGGTTATCAGTAATCAATTGTCAGAAAGTTTATGGCATAAAGGGTTAAGATATATCCAACTTGATGGTTAAGGTTATCCACAGACAGACAGACAGACAAAAATATATGAAGAAACTAGTGAGATGCATGGATACCTTACACTTATATTCTATAAAATATGCCAGCATTTGAGCTGCGTCACGACAAAACCAACATAGTGCATTTGCAACCAGCATGGGTCCTGATCAGACTGCGTGGATGTGCAGGCTGGTCTGGATCCATGCTGGTCGCAAACCCATTATGTTGGTTTTGTCATGACGCGGCTCATTTAACACCAAAGCTTGTTTTTTTTCATAATGACTGACTGGATATGAACAGACCTACATTTTTTTGTGATGGGTTTAAATGTTTACTATATCAACTATTTTTAAATGAGTCATTCCATCTTGTTGACATAGAATGTGATTTATTTACCATGATATTTATTTTTCAAGAAGACCAAAACATATGTACAGATGTTATCTTATTCAAGCAGCTCACGTGAATCTTGTACTATTATTTTTATAAAACACCAGGAAGATTTGTTTTTCAAAAAAAAAACAAAAAAAAAATTGTTTGCAGCCTTATATCTATCAAGTTCATACATTGTTGCAACAAAGAAATCAGTCCTTCTAAATTTAATAGCAGTTAATCAGTTATTGCATTCAGGTGATGATATTTTAAGCAGGTGTACTTCTTACAATGCAGGGTCAGTTAATCATGTTTTTTTTGATACTGAAATACCTTAATACAAATTTAGCTGGGCGCGCCAAACTTTTGTAATTCTGTTGCCAAAAGCATAATAAACTTTTAGTTGTTATGCTTGCATAATGAACTGTGATACTTTAGTGAAGACACCACAATTATGATATCTTTTAATTAAATGTGAAACTGAACAAAAAACTATCCTGAAAAAAATTGACAAGGAACCAAAATTTTATTTTCCTAACCACAAACAGTAACTTAAAACCATAAATTAATATTTACTTTAAATCTGCATCTAAAACCCAGTTTATCTGGTATAATATTTCTAACCGCAAACATTAAATTCAATAACATCTTCTGAAACTTGACATTTTATCACAAATTATGCACTGAAGTGTCTCATTGTTCGATTTACAATTAAAATGGTCTATTCAAGACACGCAAAACAAACTTTTTACACAATAACATGAAAACCTGATTATATAGGATGTCACTCCCTAATGTGAAGCATTAATAAATTCAATAGACACAAGGTGTTGCCAAGGATATTAGATTTCAATATGAGAGATAATGCTTTAATGTACACGCATCACATTTAATTGAAAGAGCTCTTATTTCTTTTCCCTGTTTTAAGGATACTGAATAACTCTTTAAAGGTCATTTTGCAACTTCTCAGCTTTAAATGGTAGAATAATACCTCAGATGCTCCTCCATATATAAGCCGCGTCATGACAAAACCAACATAGTGCGTTTGCGACCAGCATGGATCCAGACCAGCCTGTGCAACTGGGCAGTCTGATCAGGATCCATGCTGTTCGCTTTCAGTTTCTCTACGTGTATTATAGTTTGTAAGCGAACAGCATGGATTCTGATCAGACTGCGCGGATGCGCAGGCTGGTCTGGATCCATGCTGGTCGCAAACGCACTATGTTGGTTTTGTCATGACAGGGCTCATATTATTTTACACACGTGAGGGCACCTCAGTAGAACCACTATCCTTTTCCAAGCTAGCTACACAACTTCCTCACATGTAAGTCTCTAGGGGGAGGAAATAGAACCCAAAAATATTGAGAGGAAAGTGACTGACTAGGTCAGCAACCATAATTACCCTAAGACATGCAATTTTCATAACAGTTTTTAATGTACCCATAAATTAAATAGGAGAATTGTATCTTTATTGTAAAGATAGATTAACTTACCCAAATCTTGTATGACCCAGTTGTTACACCTGTAAACACATGCCAATGCTGTAATTACAAAACAAAAATCATCTTGATACTATCTTTCTTATTTCAGATACAGAACAGATAAAGAATGTTTTATATTTCAAAATGTGCCAAGAAATAATTTCAATAACAAGCACATATAGGATATTAAATGTTCCCACGTTATCTCAACATGCACATCAAAATGGCAAAATTTCAATTCAACAACTAAACAACTCATAATTATATGGGACATAGCTAACTTTTTTTTATGAAACATTTCTTCAAACTGTGTTTAAAGGCCCATTATGTCTCAAAAATTCTATAATAATATTTCTTATTTTCAAAAGGTTTTCTATTTTTGTTGTCCAGTTTTAGTTTCCTAAAAAAATACCCGTAGGCTATAATAGCTAAGCCATCTTTTGCTTCTTTTGCATGTCGGCATTAAGTACCAATATAGTAATTTAATAGCTAAATAAGTCATCTCATTTACAAATCTCAGTATTCGGCAAATGTGGGTAAATTTCCCATGCTTTCACATCCAAGCAGTCTGCCAGGGCTTTACCCAATCTGACTAGCTCAGTTTTTGTATTTTGTAATTGAAATCCCTAATGGACTGTTCCAAATAAAATGTTAAGCTAATCCATTTCACAAATTCAGCACTGAGCAGGACTTATAAGGCTTTAACTACAGGACAGTACCGAATTCAAAGCATTAGAGAAGTCCTTTTCACAATTTTTGGTAGAATCAAGGTTACATGTAAAGTTCAAGATCTTGATAAAACATTATCTGATCTACAACTCTTATAACCTTTACTTAACCCTCAGATACCATAAAAGAAAGGTTTATATAATCAACCCTACAAATATTTGACCTATTCCCAATATCCAATCAAAATGCTCAGGCAATTTAATTTGAAGAATAAACATCCTGATTGCCTATTGATAACCGCAGATGACCATTATTTTTAATCCGTTATTGACCAATACACTTAAGTGTCAAAACATGAAGTGATCCCGTGTTTAAGATCACTTGGACTCAATTTCATAATCTGAAAATCAAACCTAAGCGCCAATATCCTAGATTTTCAATAACAACTTACTAAATATAAAATTTAAAAAAAAAAAATCGAAAAAATATCATAGCTGGGAATTCTTGGCATCACAAACCTTGGCAGCTTTATTTTCATAAATGGTAAATTTGTCTTCCATAAAGATAATCAAGAAGTCATGTGTTCTTAAACCTTTTCGTAAAGCGTATTCCTGCCAAATTTGTGTAATACACTTGTATTTGTTTGAATGTGGAGCTCTCCATTGACATCTTAAGAGATTTTTCAATATAAAATAATCATCAAAGTTTAAAACAGCCAGCAGTTTTTAGGAAAAGGTCAGACTGCAAAGAATATACATTTATTGTGTAAGTGGCAGGATAGCTTGGTTGATAGAGCTGTAGAATGGTATTCTGAGGGTCCCAGGTTCAAGTCCCGATCAGGCTGCATATTTTTCTGACCCTGTGACAATAATACAAAAATTAAAAGCAGGACAAAGTCATATACAACAAGAAATGTGTCCATAGGACACAGGTGCCCCCACACTCCACTGTTTTGTCAATATACTGACTCTAGGTCAATTTTATTTGGGCTACTCGTGACACAAGTTGAAAACGGATTTTTTTTACTTAGTCAATGTCAATTACAAAATAAATCCCCAAGCAAAGCCAAAGGTGCATAACTACACATGCTGATCATCATTCCTGTAAAGTTGGTTGATTCCAACTCAAGCTCTCAAGGAACACATAAAACAAAATTTTTTGAATGGTTTTAGCTAGTCAAGGGCAATTACTCAACAAATACTGAATAAATCCACAATCAAACCCCAAGTGCTCAACTACATAATTTATGTGACCAACATTTCTGTATAGTTTCATGACTCTAGGTCAAATACATTTTGAGCTACATGTGACACAAGTTGAAAATTGCAATTTTTACTAAGTCAAGGGCAATAACTCTCCAAATACTGAATAAATCCACAAGCAAACACACAGGTGCACAGTGCACACCTACAGGTGCTGATTAACATTCCTGTAAAGTTTCATGACTGTAGCTCAAATACCTTTTGAGCTACATGCCACACAAGTTAAAAATTGTAAATTTTTACTAAGTCAAGGGCCATAACAGAATAAATCCACAAGCGAAACCCCAGGTGCACAACTTCACATGCTAAGCACAAGGGTATTAACTCTAATAATACTGTATAAATCCACATGCAAACACCCAGGTGCACAACTTCACATGCTAAGCACAAGGGTATTAACTCTAATAATACTGTATAAATCCACACGCAAACACCCAGGTGCACAACTACACATGCTAACCAATATGCCTGTAAAGTTTCATGACTCTAGGTCAAATACTTTTTGTGCTACATGTGACACAAAAGAGAACAAATGGACAGAAGGATGGATAAGGGTAAATCTAAATGCCTCCTTATAGTGGTGACACAAAAAAAAAATCAAACAAGGAAAATATTTAAGCCATACAACACCTTTTTCATTACATACAAATCTTTTGATATATATTTCTATAAATTAAAACAAGGATAAAGATGATTTAAATGGTATGTTTATAAGTGATAAATGAGTTTTTACAATTTAACTGCATAAGTTTGAACCCATCATATTTACCTGTCTAGAATTTTCTGATTTAAGTATAGAACCTGACTTATTGTCAAGCAGACTATATTCAAACAGGGTGAATCCAAATTTGGTTGGTGGCGTTGCTATGGTAACATTAATAGTCCCAGCATTGTTGTTTTTAGAAAGAGATATAGTAGACCTCCAGTCTCTTGCTGTTTCAGTAGATGATGATGTGTACCCTGAAAAAGAATAACATCCTTATATGACAGTTTCTTTATACATGGGTTTTGTAAACAAACAAGGTATCAAGAAACAAAATACATACCAACTTCCATATACATGCCTTTAATTCAGCTCACCATGCCAAAAATTCATACTGACTCATAAAATCAAAGCACAGAAGGCGCTGAATTTGTTGGGGTCTCAGAATGTCAGAAAGGTGAAGGTTGTGAGATTAATATAAACCAATTTGTTTTTGTATAGTGCCACCAATGCTTTCCAGTGTTTTAACTGTAGTAAATTGGCCATAAGACTAATTGCAACACTGATATTCAATTCAATGTTTATTTGACTTAAACAATTAAAAAAAAATGAGTTGCCTTAACTGGGATTTGAACTCCAGACCTCTCGCTTCCTAAGCGAGTGTGCAAACCCCTCGGCAATGGTGAAGTTTTATGTAAATGGCTTGAAGTAAACCATATTATTCTAAATGCTGACGACCCAAACAAATAACAAAAATAATGACAATATTAAGGCCCTTTAAAGCAGGCATTTGTGAAAATTGAAACTTCATCTACATATCAAAATGTAGAATGGGATGTATTTTTTCCATTTCCACATAGTCATGTTCTGTGGCCATACACTTTCTATGACTTTAGATCAACTGACCAAAAGTTACACGGTACTAGCTTCTATAAAAAGACGCAATAATGTCCCATGTCATAGTTTCATAATGAATGCTTGAAACAATAAATGCCCTTCAGAGTGAGGTCACGGTTATAAGGAGGATTTTGTTGGAGGTAGATTCCTATCAAGGCGTATAATCTTATCATATCTCATAATCTCAGAAATCAGGACCTTGTGCTGGAGCATTAACACATGTCTGTCCATGAAGTAAATACATTTTATAGTTCTTATCTTCCTTCTCTACTATTTAGCACTCTTGCCTTCTAAAGAGGAGGCGTTTTAGCCAATTTCCACATCTGACTGTTGTTTCATTTTGCCATAAAAGCTCTTGAGAACTTTTAACACATTTCTGTTTGTCCCTTTCCTGAAGGATGCATGGCACCTGGATCTTGCAGATACACGGCACTAATCTGGCTGATACACGGCATCAATCTGGCTGATAGACGGCGCCAATCTGGCTGATACACGGCACCAATCTGGCTGATACACAGCACCAATCTGGCAGATATATGGCACCAATCTGGCTGATACACAGCACTAATGTGGCTGATACCACGGCACCAATCTGGCTGATACACAGCACCAATCTGGCTGATACACAGCACCAATCTGGCTGATACACGGCACCAATCTGGCTGATACATGGCACCAATCTGGCTGATACACAGCACCAATCTGGCTGATACACGGCACTAATCTGGCTGATACACGGCACCAATCTGGCAGATATATGGCACCAATCTGGCAGATACACGGCACTAATCTGGCTGATACACGGCACCAATCTGGCTGATACACAGCACCAGTCTGGCAGATACACGGCACTAATCTGGCTGATACACAGCACCAATCTGGCAGATATATGGCACTAATCTGGCTGATACACGGCACCAATCTGGCTGATACACAGCACCAATCTGGCAGATACACGGCACCAATCTGGCTGATACACGGCACCAATCTGGCTGATACACAGCACCACCAATCTGGCTGATACACGGCACTAATCTGGCTGATACACGGCACCAATCTGGCTGATACACAGCACCAATCTGGCTGATACACGGCACCAATCTGGCTGATACACGGCACCAATCTGGCTGATACACGGCACCAATCTGGCTGATACACAGCACCAATCTGGCTGATACACAGCACCAATCTGGCTGATACACGGCACCAATCTGGCTGATACACGGCACTAATCTGGCTGATACACGGCACCAATCTGGCTGATACACTTGACTTTATTTCAGTCCATCCTAGAGAATTTTGAACACAGTGGTAAATGCTAATTATTGCTTCTCATTTCTGAATTGCTCCTCTATACTAATCATACATGTTTTGATTCTTTTAATGATGTTGCTTTTGCACTGGTCACTATAGAAACAGGACAACCAGACCTTTTGTCATCTAACATGCTGATTGTACCATCACAAAAACACTGCTGTCACATGTACACAAAAGTCTTTAAACGACCCTAATGCTGCGCATTGTTTGAATCTTTTATCTTTTCAAGCACTTGAGCTCAAGATACATTTTCAGTTCAACACAAAATTTCATTACAGAATGAAGAAGTTCAAAACTGTATGTTGCCTTTACTGAAATTTACCACAGCATTGCGTTCAATCGCCACCGCAAGGCTACATACTAATATGATGTCATGAACTGATAGGAAATTACATCACCACCTCATGCTCATGTCACAACCATTGACATAAAAACCAGTGAAAAAAAATCAACTAACAACTGCAGTGGCCATGCAGATGATGTTTGAAATGAATGAAAACATGACCTGCTTCAAGTCACAAGAAGGTGGTTGCTATAGCAATGAACAAATTCTTAATAGGAAATTTAAAGTTGGAAAAAAATATATACATAATCAGTCTTAAGTCATTATACTAGTATATACAGGACTTTAAAAACGATATTTTCCTGTTGTTGTTTTTTAAATCAAGTTTTAAGAGTAAAATTCTAAGAACTGATGGAGCAACCATTAGGCTTCTAACAACCTTTCACTGCCTACAAGGAAAGTGAATTTGGTTGTCCCACACACAGTTACATCTTTTTGCCGTAAAGTGGGGGCTGATGTAGCCAATCTTATCTTAAAATTCAAATGGTTAAAGTAATAGCTGAGAAACAGAACTGCTGGCAGGAAATTAAAATTCAAAATTAGCGATGTTTTTCTCCAATGCAAAAGCTGAAGGTTTTGGTTGGTGTAGAATGTTCCATACATCATACATCATTCCTGGCTTTTAAGCTTGTAAGCTTGTTTAGCATGCGAACGTGGAATCTTACCCGACTTGAGGTCCGTTAACATGTCATCTGTATTATAACACCATAATACATGTACAGTGATTGTTTTAATGTTGAATATCTATAATCCTTGAATAATGGTTTAAGGTGCAACATGTGATACAGTCAAAGCTGTTTTGCAATAGTTTGCAGAATGTTACATTGATTGTTAAGAAAAATGGTATTAGACAATAGCTACAGTTTATTTTGGGAAATATGTATGCATTTAAATTTCAATAAACTTTGAATAAACATTAATGTGAATAACACTCTGGAGACCTTTATCAAACAGTTCAAAGAAAAAATTCCAAAGTTCTTGATGATACTTAATCAGTAATTGAATATAACAAGAGACATGTCCCATGTCCTAGGTATCAGTCCATGTCCTAGGTACCAGTCTATATCCTAGGTACCAGTCCATGTCCTAGGTACCAGTCTATGTCCTAGGTACCAATCCATGTCCTATATACACCTGTCCATGTCCTAGGTACCAGTCTATGTCCTAGGTACCAGTCAATGTCCTAGGTACCAGTCCATGTTCTTGGTACCAGTCCATGTGCTAGGTGCCAGTCCATGTCCTCAGTACCTGTCCATGTCTTCCAAACCAGTCCATGTCCCACGTACCAGTCCATGTCCCAGGTACCAGTCCATGTCCTAGGTACCTGTCCATGTCCTAGGTACAAGTCCATGTCCTAGGTACCAGTCCATGTCCTCGGTACCAGTCCATGTCCTCAGTACCAGACCATGTCCTAGGTACTTGTCCATGTCCTAGGTACCAGTCCATGTCTTCGGTACAAGTCCATGTCCTCAGTACCATTCCATGTCCTAGGTATCAGTCCATGTCCTCGGTACTTGTCCATGTCCTAGGTACCAGTCCATGTCCTAGGTACCAGTCCATGTCCTTGGTACTTGTCCATGTCCTAGGTACCAGTCCATGTCCTCAATACCTGTCCATGTCCTAGGTACCAGTCCATGTCCTAGGTATCAGTCCATGTCCTCAATACCTGTCCATGTCCTAGGTACCAGTCCATGTCCTAGGTACCAGTCCATGTGATTATGTTCTTACAAAAAGGTTTAACTCCTTTAAACATTAAGAAATAAATGGTAAATAACTGACAGATAATCAATATTTGTTTCCTTAAAACCTTATTACATACTAATATCACAGACAGTACAGAATATTTTGCACTATAAAAACTTACCTTGAAACTCAATGTTAAGATTCAAATAATGGTCAAATCTGTCCTCCCTGTTTTCCTGTTTTGGCAGAGTATAAAGCTCAAACCTATACAGTGGAAGGGGGTTGGGATTAAGGGGCCACATATATAGCCAGAATAGTGTCTGAAATGTAAAATAATTAACTCTGCAATATAACTGCAGGCAAACATTTCAAAATTTTGGGTTGAAAAAAAACATTAATGTACATTGTAAAAGTTACTTAATGGATATTATTAGAAAGAAGCCAACAAAGCATTTCATAGAAATAATAATTTGAAATAATTTAAATCAGAGCATATCTTGGAAAAATGTTAATTTGTTTACATTTGAAGCACTGACATCCTTATTTTTTCATTCATTCATTCATTCATTTATGGATTAGGGGTAGGGAAGTAATAATCTTCTATGCTACTTACATCCAATTCTGTGAGAGAATTCTCATCCCATGTAATATTAGATAGATCTAATATATAACAAGAAATTGTGTTTGACGATTCATAGCGAGTCACCTCAAATCCCTTCACATAATTCTTTCCAGCTGTAATAAAAAAAATTTCTTTCTAGCTGAAATGTAACAAGAACTGTCTGAGGACAGTAATGCTCGACTTTTCGAAAAAGTTGTCACAAGGCTGTTATATTGAGTATAATAATGCTTACCTATATGAATACAAAAAATTGTCCGAAAAGATACAAAGGCTTGTTATTAAGATGTTTTATCAAGTAAATCACTTCTTTGTTATCATGAATGCATAAAATTGTCCCCAAAAAAGGCACAAACCCTTCAGTAGTTATGGGGATTACAGCTTACAAGCAAAAACTTTACCATGAATTTCTAAGTTGAACAAGAGCTATGACTGCTAGGCAGAGCATTATATGCCCTTAAGTGTTTTTTTTTTGTTAGTAAAGTTGAAACATTTGTAAGACACAGGAATTAAATACAGTATAACCTCCTTCAAAAGCAATCCTCCTTTATAGCTGAAAAATCTTCATATAAATACAATTGCTGTATTTAAAGCACCACCATCAAGTTGTAGTTATGCTCCAGAAACCACAACTTTCAATGTAAAGATCATTGTCACCCTGACCTTTGACCTTATGACCCTAAAATCAATAGGGGTCATGTATAGGACATGGCTGTTCATCCTATAAAATTTAACAGCTGTAGGTTTATTAATACTTAAGTTATTGAGTTTTAAGGTAATAGTGACCCTTTGACCTTGTGACCCCAAAATCAGTAGGGGTCTTTCACCCAATATGGACAATCATCCTATCAATTTTGAATACTGTGGGCCAAATGGAACTTAAGTTATGCTCCGGAAACCATTTTCAGTTTTAAGATAATAGTGACCTTGACCTTTGACCTTGTGACCCCAAAATCAATAGGGGTATTCTACCTAATATAGACAATCATCCTATGAAGTTTGAACACTGTGGGCCAAATGAAACTTAAGTTATGCTCCAGAAACCAAATTACTAACGGACGGACAGACAGATGGACTGAAACCAGGGGGTATAACATAATATGCCCAAAATTCTTTCGGGCATATAAAAAGGGGAGAAAAATCAGCCCAAATGCAAGATAGAATAATATGGATTTTGGTCAATGACAAAAAATTATGACCCTAAATGCATATGTGAAGTTTTAAATAAATATCTTTGATAGTTATTGAGATATGTAAAGCTTGCATGTAAACATTAACCAAGAGACTAAGTAGAAAAGGGGAGATAAATCAGCCTAATTGCAATATACAGTTATGAAACTTGGTCAGTGACATACAAATATGACCCTTCATGCATATGTGAAGTTTCAAATCAAAATCTCTGATAGTTATTGAGATATGTAAAACTTACATGTAAACATTAACCAAGAGACTAAGTAAAAATAGGGGAGATAAATCAGCCTAAATACTTGACACAGATATGAGTGCTGTTCAGTGATCATTATCTTTGACCACAAATATACATATGAAGTTTCAATTTTGTATCTTTAATAGTTTCAGAGATATGCAAAACTTGCATGTAAAACTTTACCAAGAAAAGGAGATTTTTTTAGTACAAATGGAAGCATGATTCAGTCAAAATACATGGCAGAGTAATGGATCTTGAGATGTGACCTTCAATTATGACCCTAAGTAAATGTGTAAAGTTTCAAGTAAATACAATATATCTTTGATAGTTCTTAAGACCTTTAACCTTTAACCAAAATTTCTAAGTTTCAAAGCGGCAAATAATTCTGCAAATATTGCAGGCAGAGATACGCAACTTTGCAAACTGATGTACATTGTTACTTTAAAAAAGTATTGTAAATTTCAATTGAATACATGTATCTCAAGCAATAATTGAGATATTTGACTTTACAAAAACTTTAACCAACGCAGACAATTTAGGATGCGGACGCCGAGGTCAGGGCGACTGCAATAGCTCTCCATAGTCTTTGAATAGTTGAGCTAAAAACAAGGGCTCCATTAGCCCCTAAGCTCTCACCTGGTGAAAGTATAACCTTTGATCTACTGACCTCAACATCAATAGTGGTCATCTACAAGTCATCACTAACCTCTAAACTGTTAAGTCTCATGATGTTCCAAGATATCTAAAGCAGACTTTTTATTTACTGTAAACATATATGTGTATTTAATTGTCATTCAATAATAAATATATTGTAGTGAAAATCGACCTTCACCTGTGTTATGATATTACATATAGATAGACTACCACTGAAACTAATTGTCTACAGACACAGCGATGGCCAGATGGATGGACTACCAATGAAATTAATTGTCTACAGACACAGCGATGGCCAGATGGATGGACTACCAATGAAACTTATTGTCTACAGACACAGCGGTGGCCAGATGGATGGACTACCAATGAAATTAATTGTCTACAGACACAGCAATGGCCAGATGGATAGACTACCAATGAAACTAATTGTCTATGACACAGCAATGGCCAGATGGATAGACTTCCATTGAAACTAATTGTCTACAGACAGCAATGGCCAGATGGATGGAATACCATTGAAACTTATTGTCTACAGACACAGCAATGGCCAGATGGATGGACTACCAATGAAACTAATTGTCTACAGACACAGCAATGGCCAGATGGATGGACTTAACCAATGAAACTAATTGTCTACAGACAGCAATGGCCAGATGGATGGACTACCATTGAAACTTATTGTCTACAGACACAGCAATGGCCAGATGGATTGACTACCAATGAAACTTATTGTCTAGACACAGCGATGGCAAGATGGATGGACTACAACATCAAATTCAGTTAATTGTGAGTCCCAAATTTAGTTTCTCAGAGCATAAAAAAACACATGTATATTTTTTACGATAGGGTTTTATTTGTTTACTTTCTGAAGAAAAGACCCTTGAGCATTGAACTGAGGTTAGCTTTATAATGGGGCACAGTATAATGGGATAGCATTGTAAGAAACGGGACAGGAAGTGCTTATATGACTCTTGGACAATAGCCCCCTTGTACAATTGCCCCATATTTGCTGTGGTAGACATTTATCCAATTGTCCAGGGGATCTAATGTACAATTTCAAACTGAAATGAACTTACCATTTTGTGGCATCGTGAATGTCAAGTTGACAGCCGGGTACCATTTGTTATATTTAGGATAGAACTTATAACTTGCATCAGCCTCGAATGATCCGGGTTTTCCAGGAAATTTTGCTGTACTTGTTTCATAAAATGGGAACTTTTTCAGCATGTTCTCAGGAGAACACTCTGTAAAGAAAGATACATCATACATATATATGAAAGGTACTTCAAAGAATATCACATATAGAAAGTTCTTAACAACAAAACTCCTGGTCCAGATACATTTTATTTTAACTCAAGTGTTAGAAGATTTATTTCCATATCAATATGAACTTTCTTTTCAGTAGTACATGATATTAAATACAACTAAACATACAACATAATTATAAATTTGTGTACATGCAATTATCAGTTGGCAATTGTCAAAATACCATTATAAGTTATTGAAAAAAAACCTTTGCATGCTGAAAAAAGATTGTTGTTTGCTTAAAATGTCACCTGCATAATTTTTAGCGTAATTCAATTTTCTAGAAATTAAGAACAAACTCAAGTACAACGGCATGGTACCTGATACAACATGGACTAGTAACTCTATGTCTTATCTGGTACAAAACTGTTAGCTTAAGGGATACAGTGGACAGTCTCAGCAGACTAACTGTTAATTAAATTGGTTCGATCCCCAGAGATGCTTTGGTAGATTAGCAGGGAGGAAGGAAGTCTAATACTGGTGTAACTCTCCAGGATCGATGGTTAGGAAACTACCCGCCTATATGACTGAAACACGGTTGAGAAAAGGCTTAAAAAATGAAACAAACAAACAAAACAAATTTGGTATGCATGGTCGATGTATGTTTTTTAGGTTCTTTCATGAAGAAGCTGCCTTAATCTGGCTTAAGCTTACAAAAGATGGTCATTCTATTAAGATGTCAGCTTTAAATAATGCATGGTCGTACCCCACCTGTTAAGCTGCACAGTTGACATATAACCTAAATAAAGCCCTTGACAGTTCAAAAACCAACCAGGAAAAAAAAATATATTGATTTATGAAGAAACTAGAAATGTGTCATCATGCCACGGATGCCCCCGCATGCAGCCAAAATTTCAAATGTTATAATATTTAGTTCCAAATTTGTTTGCACAAATTATTTTTTTTATTCTAAGTTCAAAGCCCTTAAAACTTTTCAATGTTAACACAAACCATTTTTATACAATGTTCAAGGCACTGAAATTATTCAGTCTTAACCTTTTGAAAATAGCATATTGCATATTTGTAGCCAAAATAATGGCTATATACATTTCCACAAAAGTATGAGTGCTGAAACTGAAATTTTTCCAACATTCAGGAAAGATAAGTTTATTCAAAATCATTGAACCACAACCAAAATCAAACTTAAACTGCTTACTCCTTAGATGTATCTATATTATTTTCAAAGTGAAAGGGACATAACTCTGCCAAAAAATCATCGAACCATGACCAAATTCCAACTTGACCTGCGCATTCCTTCGACATATCCATATGTCAATAGACATATCCATATGTCAATTTTGAGTTAAATATGTAACACTGTTGGGTTGATAATGAACAGAAACTAAATTTCATATCATTTTTTAAGTGAAAGGGGCATTACTCTGCCAAAAATCATTGAACCACGACCAATTTCGAACTTGGCCTGTGCATTCTAAAAACATATCCATATGTCAAATTTGAGTTGAATGTGTAATACTGTTGTGGAGATAATAAACGGAAACTGAAAATTTCATATTATTTTTCAAGTGAAAGGGGCATAACTCTGCCAAAAATCATCGAACCATGACCAAATTTGAACTTGACATGCGCATTCCTTTGACATATCCATATGTCAAATTTGAGTTGAATGTGTAATACTGTTGGGGAGATAATAAACGGAAACTGAAAATTTCATATTATTTTCAAAGTAAAAGGGGCATAACTCTGCCAAAAATCATCGAACCATGACCAATTTCGAACTTGACCTGTATTTTCTCATGACATATCTATATGTCAAATTTGAGTTCAATATGTGCAACGGTTATTAAGATAATGAACGGAAACTGATGATGACGGAAGGACAGAATGACGGAACAGGGTAACACTATATGCCCCTGCCATTATATGGCTGGGGCATAACAACAGCCACCGCCTAGCAGGGGTCTACTTGACATTTTCATATCCAACATCATCTGCTAAAATTCCCCAAAAAAGTCAAGCTAATAAATGGCAATGGATCAATGTAAAGAATGACGGTAAAGAATGTCAGATATAACAATATTGTTCTGGGTTTATTTTTATAAAATTATAGCATAGAAAGAAATAAAGAAAACTTAAAAGATGCCTATACTAAAGACTAAATTAAATTTTCAGAAATAAGTTTCAGTTTGGAAAGACAATTTAATTATGTAGGCTAATATACTTAATAGATAAATATCAAGTACAATAGTAAAGATGTTATTATCTGATAATCATAATCTGAATTATAACATCAGCTAAAGATGACGTCATAGAAGAGAGTGTTTAAATACCTATTTCCTGTTGAAATTATAAAATTGAGAAAAGTTTTTCGAGATATTATGATTGATTTATAATTGTTTAACCCATTACTTCATGAGCATTTTGTGAAAAATGGCTGTTTTCATTGAAAAGTCTCCCGTTACAAGTTCAAATTGCTATAATACTATAAAAACTGCTTCAACACTAATCAAACTTGGCACAAATGTTGACTGGACCATTGCCCTTGCAACAACATGCTCAGGCTTAAATTTTCTGTTACCATGGCAACGAGGGGACATCTCACAATTGCCAAAAATCACTATTTTGCGTTGATTTTTTCCATTATAATTGATTTCAAAGTGCTGCAACTTCTCAATGGATTGAGATAGAGTCAAATGCTTTTCAGCGTTGGTTACATGTTACCTTATGATCAATCTGGGGTCATTTATAGCCTCTCACAAGTCCAAAATTTTCTTGGCGATGAGGGGGACTCCGACCCCTTCAAACCCCCCAAACAGAAGGGGGCACATCCCCCTTCTGGCAACCCCCTGATGTATGTTTTGATTCGGGGGCCGCGCCGAAAAAGTGGTCACTTTTTTTAACAACATTTCTCAAACAAAAACAAGTGTTAAGGGCCTAAATAATGCATTTTTTCACCATTTGAGACAACAAAAAGGGGGGGGGGGGTGAAAAAGGCGTTAAAAGGCGTGTATATGAAGTAATGGGTTAAAAGAAGGTTTTTCCTTTTAGATAGGTATAATGTATTAAGTCATTATGCTTTGTAATAGTACAAGTCAAATGACATTGAATTTCCAGCTTTACTGGCTGGAAAGACCTAATAACTCTTAGCCTGTTGGCACCAATTCTTTTGTGGTTTGATGTTACATCTTATACTAACTTAATTCTTATTATCAATATATTTATTATCCTACAAACCATCCATTATAGACCAATTCATTTTAAAGGAGCTGCTATATTTCAGGCATGATACTGGGCATCAGGGTTGAAGCTTCGGACCATTTACCTTCTACAAGCTAGCTAATGAGATACCAGTCTAAGCTTTCTCGCATGAAAAGAATCTAATACCTTATCTGGAACCTAGTCCAACTAATTAGACTTGTCAAAGAGACACCGAGATAATTTTGGACGGGCGCTGTCTTTGACAGTAATAAAAAAAAGTCTGTAAAATGGGTCAAACAGTTCACGCCAAATTAATTAGGCTATCTGGAACCTAAACCGCAATAAAGTGATTAAGATTGAAAGTCTGCAACAATGGAGGCCTCCATCTTGAAAAAGGACAGTTTTTTTGTTTTTTGTTGTTTTTCTTTTAATTATAATTACAGTAGGACCCATTGCTTTAAAAAGAATGGTCAAGTTACAATGTACTTAATAATTTTCCAAACAGCTTATATCATGTTTTAGTCAATCTTTTAAACCATCTTTAAACCCATAAAGGGGCTAAATTTCTAATCTAGCATGAATTAAAAAAAATCTGTAAGCATTTATAAATCAAATCAAAACAAGAACAGTTTGATGTTGCTACAAATAGACACCATCCCGAAATGCAAAAAATAGCAACAATATTGTAACCAACTGTTTATAAATGAACGAAAAAGTATATAAATGTTAGTTGTTCAATTTAACCCAAAATTACTTCCCATATTTCAGTCATGATGGCGGGTTACAAATTCCTAAATCCATACATGCGTGAGTTACAACCAAAAGTACTAAGACTACCGAAGACACCAGTAACTAGATTTGACCCGAAAAAAAATAAAAAGAGAAGAAATGCTGGTCATAATATGTAACCAAAAATGTACATGCTCGCCCATATGGTCTCTTGCCGGTGGCGAGGGTAATCAAACCCAAACACATACATGCTCAGGTCACTAATCTCACAAGTATCATAAAAACTTGTAATCCGAAGACACTGTCACCACCTTTATTTTGTTTGCCGTCATCCATTTTTGTCAATATAAAAAAAACCCAGATAAAACATCTTGCATTATCAAAGTAATAATTAACTACACTATGAGAAAGTTGTTGATCTATGTGCAGCTTAGTAACCCACTTACATCAAAATAATTGTACTGTTTTCCTTGTTTCAAAGTGCTTTATTTACTAAATCTACACATTACATAACTTATTAATGATCACGTTTTCAATGAAAGTTTGAAAATAAAAGTCATTTGTTACAAACGCTAAATGAGTATTTCATCATAATTATGTTCATTCTGTTTAATACTATGTTAGCTTCTATGTGTTTTTTAAAACATTCAATATACATATGTAGTAAAAAGGGGATAATATGGTAAATGGTATGGCTTCACAAAAATGATATTCTTTCACGAAATGAAAATTAATCATCTGAATATGAAAAATTCCTTTCAATTATGCAAGATTTATGGGTCTTGGACACAATCAAACTAAAAAAAATTAGTATAAACAAAATTAAGACAGGCATGAATTTCAAAAGAAATTTTTTTATGGAGATTGATCTTGCAAAACCACTGTTTTAGAAATTAATCTATGGAAACAATAATTTTGAACTTGGTCTAAGGAATCAACATTTTTCTAACTTTAATAATTAAGGAAACAACATTTTTCTAACTTAATTAAAGGAAACAACATTTTTCTAACTTTAATAATTAAGGAAACAACATTTTTCTAACTTAATTAA